GAACAGAACGCAATAGTTTTAAGTCTGGATACCTTTCCTTTCATCAGAGATGTCATTTGATCCCATATTGCATTAATCATCACCACCCAAAATATTGGCAATATTTCATTAATTTCTATATTATAAGCTATGTTATAAGAGCAGAGTGCCTCAGCCACTAGTTAGATGACGTCAGTTGTCATGTTCTTTGCCACAAGGTGGGGTCTAGGAAAAAATAGTATTGCAGCTCTGGTCTCAGGATAATGGCAGTGCTCAACACAAGGAATCCACTGTATGTTTTCCGCTTCTTAAGATGCTGACCTACTTCGACGAATCCTTTCCGAGCAGCTTTTGCTCAGGATGGTTTGGAAGTATTCCAGATCTTCCTATGCTGCTCTGGCTTTTTTTAATTCAAACCAGATCTAGCCATTTCTTATTCTTGCGCTCTCTTTCCTGGGAATTATGAACTTGGCTCTAATCTGTCGGGGGCTTCCTGAAGACCAGATCATGTACCACAGCTTTTTTCTTTGATCCTCCTATTCTGCAAGTCCTTTAAATATCAAGACTGCTTCATTCCTAATGGACCGTTCACCCGTGTGAATTGATCCTTTATATAACCGCCGACCATGCATAAGACGTAGGTCAGAATCTCAGAGCTTTATAGCAGTACAAAATAAAAAATAAAAAAAATTGCAGAATTGAATATTGCAAAGACAAAGACCCCCAAAGAGTCTGTACCTATTCACACAGAGTGTTTGTTTTATCATGTTTTGGAACAGAGAGAACTCTGCGCAGTGTATAATAAAAAATATATATCTCTGGATTAATAAGGTCTCCACATTCATCCCAGAAGGTGCCACTACGAATTCTTAATGAAAATACAACACCTAAATCTTCCTGTCCCTCCCGGTCAATTACAATAGGTTCCCCTTATTGGATGGTGCATTATTAGATACATGGTGGATTACTATTTGATGATTAGAGTCAAAACAGATCCAAATTATTTTTCCATATCGAGATAATTGATATAAAAGGCTTGAATCTTGCTTTTACAAGTTTGCTGTTTCTTTCACCATGATCTACACATTTGGAAATATTGTTCTAAGACAAAAATTAATCTCAAGGGTATTCAGAAAACCCTTACTCATTATGTCTCATTTATCTCCTTTATACTTTTATACAGGACCGCTGCTTTAAAAAAAGGCATCACTCTCATTCCTTCTAATCCAATTTTTTTATAGATTAGAAGGAATGCGAGTATATATATATCTGGATTCTGCATGTAACTCAGAACAATTTTTTTCCAAGTTGCAAACCTTAAAAAAGCAGCACATCCAAAATCTTTTGCTGTGGTTCATTATTGTTGTTAGTTGCGAAGTCGTGTCCGACCCATCACGACCCCATGGACAATGTTCCTCCAGGCCTTCCTGTCCTCTACCATCTTCTGGGGTCCATTTAAGCTCACGCCTACTGCTTCAGTGACTCCATCCAGCCACCTCCTTCTCTGTCATCCTCTTCTTCTATTGCCCTCAATCTTTCCCAGCATCAGGCTCTTCTCCAGGGAGTCCTTCCTTCTCATTAGGTGGCCAAGTTGAGTTTCAACTTCAGAATCTGGCCTTCTAAAGAGCAGTCGGGATTGATCTCCTCTAGGACTGACCGGTTTGATCGCCTTGCAGTCCAGGAGACTCGCAGGAGTCTTCTCCAGCACCACAGTTCAGAGGCCTCAATTCTTTGGCGCTCAGCCTTTCTTATGGTCCAACTTTCACAGCCATACATTGCAACTGGGAAAATGAGGTTCACAGTACTTAATAAAAACAGGCATTCAGTGAATCGCTTGGCACCAGAGATGCAACAGAGTGCTTGCTGCTCTTTTTGGGGAAGCCGGAAGATTAAAAGGAAAATGAAGAGAGCATATTGGTGATCATCATTAGAGATGGCTACATCTTTGAGGTCCATTATTTTTTTTAATAAGATTTTTATTGATTTTTTCATTCATTCAATAGTACTTGTTCAACAAATGTGTTATCTAAGTTTACATTCACTAATACAGATTTAATTCCTAATCCTTTATTCTTTCCTCTAGCCATTGATAAAATAAGTCTCAAGTTTGGTAATATTCCATTTCTTCCTTTCTTTCAACCTTAAAGTCAGTCTTTCCATCTCCGCACATTTTAGTATTTTTTTAATTATTTCTTCATCTGATGGTATTTCTTCATTTTTCCAATACTGCGCGAATATAATTCTTGCCACTATTGTTACATGTAGAATCAAATATATGCTTTGTTTATCAATCTTTTCTGGCATTATACCTAATAAAAAAAGTTCCAGTTTAAAATCTACATATTTTCCCAACATCTTTTCTAGCCACATACTTTTTTCCCAATAATTCTTTGCTTTGGCACATGTCCACCAAACATGGCAATAAGTACCTGACTTGTGTTTGCATTTCCAACATCTATCTGACATGTTTTTAAACATTTTTGCTAATCTTCTTTCCCACAAGTTTTGCCATTTTTCTAATTCTATATTGTATCCAAAACTTTTTGCCCATCTTATCATTGTTTCTTTAACTTGTTCGCTTTCCATTTTCAAATTTAATAGAAAATTATAAATTTTCTTAATTAGTTTCTCATCAGAGGTTAATAATATCTTATCAAACAAGGTTTGCTCCTTATAAATCCATACAGTTTAACTTCTTTATCATATCCAACTTGCATTTGTAAGTATGCCCACCATGATAGATTGATACCCTGATTTTCCATTTCTTGTTTAGATTTTAAGTTCCCTTCAGAATTTAGTCTCTGTATATCCGGATTTTTTCAAAATTGACTAAATTTGGGTGTACGAGTGCTTCCATTGTTGAAAGCCAACCTGGAATTTTCAGATATATTTTACATTTTATTTTTTCCCATGTTGATAATCATGCATTTCTTATGTAGTGGTTTTGAAAGGACTTATGGATTTTATTTTTCCCATACCATAAAAAAGTGTGCCACCCCAGTTGTAAATCATGTCCCTCCAAATAAGAATTATCCATTCTTTTACCCAAGTTAATACAGACACTTGATAATATAAGACCCACTCTTGGCAAACCAAAACCTCCATTTTCCTTGGCTTCTTTTAACATTTTCATCTTGATTCTAGCTTTCTTTCCTTGCCAAATAAATTTCAAAATTCATGAATTTAAATCTTCAAAGAATTTTTTCTCAAGTTTTATAGATATTGTTTGGAATAGAAATAATTTTTGGTAGTATATTCATTTTCACTGTAGCAATTCTTCCTTATATCGACAGCTGCAAGTTTTTCCATTTTTCCAAGTCCAATCTTATTTGGTTCAATAATTTTTAAATAATTATCTTCTTTTATCGTTGAACATCTTGTTGTTAAGTATATTCCCAGGTATTTAATCTTTTTAACTATTTGTAGTTCTACTTTTTCTGACATTTTTTTTTTCTTATCTGAGATATTTTTGACTATTACTTTAGTTTTTTCTCTGTTTATTTTCAGTCCTGCTATTTTTCCATACTGTTCTATCTTTTCCAGTAGTTTAGGAATTGTCTCCAAATGTTCTTCTAGGATAAATACCAAATCAAGAGGTCCATTATTTTCAATGGTAGAAGACTTTTGATTCCACTGAGTTACGCCTGTGGAAACAAGCTGAGAAGGCCGTTCCTTTTTCTGGCCTTTATGGCAGCTCCTTCTGTTTTTGTAAGAATGGATATCTTCTGATGGTTTGGTAGTGGATAAATGGTTGGTTTAGACCTTTAGGAAGAGCCAAGTTCAAATCGCTGTTTGATAATGGAGTTTACTGGAAGATTCTCTAGCTCACAGGTCGGCAACCCGCGGCTCTGGACCCGCATGTGGCTCTTTGAGCCTTCTCCTGCAGCTCCCAGCCTCCTCTGCCATTTGCAGAGACAGAGAGAGGCACTTGCGCTTTTCTCTCTCTCTCTCTCTCTCTGTGTGTGTGTAAAAAAAAGTGGCCTCATGCTGTTCTCCGACAAGCTGACAAGCTTATTGGGTGGGGCTCCTGCCTTTGCTGCATCTCAGCAGGAAGCAGGAAGCAGCAGAAAGCAGAAACTCTCTCTCTCTCTCTCTCACTCACTCACTCTCACTCACACTCACACTCTCACTGAGTGGGGGAAGAGGACTATCAGACCAAGGGCAGGAGAGAGCCAGCTTGTCGGAGAACAACGTGAAGCCAGCTTGCCAGGTGAGCAGAAGATCGGAGAGAGGGAGAGGGGGGGGGGAGAGAGGGAGGGAGGGAGACAAAGGGAGGGAGGGAGAGAGAGAGAAACTCATGCACAGCAGCCTCTTTCTTTTTAATTAAACTCTTCAATCAATCTCTCCCCCCCCCTCGCGTGCGTGTGCACGCGTATGCGCGTAAGTGGCTCTTTGAGTGTTTAAGGTTGTCGACCCCTGCTCTAGCTTTTTTTTTTTTTTTTTTTTTTTTGCTAAACCTTCCTCGAGAAACTTATTCATGTCACTCAGCTCCTTGGGAGAAAGAGCAGGATAAAAGATTATTTTTCTGGGATAAAATTCTTACGTATTAGCAGTCTGGGGTATTGCTTAACTACTGAAAGTTAATGCCTTCTAACTCAGGGGTCTTCAAACTTGGCCTTTTTATGACTTGTGGACTTCGACTCCCAGAATTCCTCAGCCAGGCACAGCTGTGCCTGGCTGAGGAATTCTGGGAGTCGAAGTCCACAAGTCATAAAAGGGCCAAGTTTGAAGACCCCTGTTCTAAAAGATCTTCTAAATAACTGCAACAGGTTTAGCTCCTTTGGGAAGGCGATTAGGGGTTTTTTTTGTTTTTTTTGCAAGCCTCAGAAATTTACACCGCAGCTGATTTTTAGGCACCCAATAACTCACAGATCAACAACTGCAAACTTGATTATCTTTTTGAAAGCTTGGCAGCTAGGGGTGTTCCCCCCCCTTATTCATCCTGCACTTTGTCATCGGAGCTGACAGTAAGAAATTGAGATGATCTCCATGTTTATTTTAATTTTGTTTGCCTCCTGTAGGGGCTCTACCTCGGCAGGGGAGGGCTTGGGTGTTGCAGGAAAGAACAAAGAGGATACCTTTGCTACGTTCCGTCAGAGAATGATCCAGATGTACTATATGAAAAGAGCCAATAAATAGGTAGGTGTGTAAAACGGAGCCAGTTGTTTTCGTTTTAAATGGTTGCAAGAGTAAAAAAAAAAAAAAAAAAAAAAAGTCCGCAGAGATTTTTCTGCTTTTCGCATTGTTGATTCGTGTTGAAAATCCAGAATGACATAACTGACGTTAAATTCTGAGGGCTGTAGAATGCCTCCATTGCTGTTTGGTCTGGCGAGAAATTGATTTCAGTTTTGGATCTTTCCCAGTTCCTTCCCAACATACAAAAAGCCTAGAATTTAAACATCTCTGGTATCCTGAGAGAAGATAACCTGCTTTTTAGAAGCAGGAGCAGTCAGTCCTGCTTTTCATCAGAAGTCACCTATGATTTAGCAATAATTGATAATGATATCCCAATCAATTCCCCTTCAAATGTTTTAAGCTGTAATTCCTAGCAGCCTTAACCAGCATAATGTCCAGGCTGGCTAAATTATGGTCAGAATTGCGGGCCTTCCTGTTGGGACCCAGTAGGGGAGCCCACTGTATTTATTTGGAACAAGGTAGACTGGATTATTCCTGTTCCAAACAGGTGAAATTCCTCCATTTTTTTTCTCTCAAGGTCAGCGTGTCAATTTTATCATCTTTAATACGAACTCCCGGTATAATTAAATTTGTGTAAATTCTGCTATTTTCACCAATTCTGGAGTCCGGGAAGTTGCTTATGAAAAATTCAGCAGCAGACCAAAACCATTACCTTAGCATAAATTTCATGAACTTGTTTTGGGGACCTTTACCAACAATCGGTGTGTCTGGCCTCCTCCCCAAAGATGTGCAGTATTTAAGCCAGCCTGAGTGTCTTTTGTTCACATTCTCGGATTGCCTTTTCTTAACTTCCATGATATGTCTATTTTATGTCCTGTTAAATAAATATGATTACAGTTTGTTGAAGGTGGCGATTGGACCTCTTCAAGATAACATCTCTTTTTTCCATGAGTCTACCAAGGCTGCCACATATATGGCAAAGACTTACGTTAATCAAATAACATCTTGTACCATTAAGACTCTTGGGTGTAAAACCCAGCTTAAAAACTGTGATTATTCACAGCATCCTGATTTGATTTTAAAATTCTTGCAGATTACTCATACTTCTTAATTCCGGTAGCGTGTTTGCCATCAAATTTGTCAAGTCTTTCAGTTTTTCTATGATTGTCTCCAGAAGATGTCTTCATCTTGTTGGTATTACCCTTTTTTTTTTTATTTCAATTCTCACAGCCATGGAGTTTCTTTTCCCCACCACATTCCACTTTGGGGTGGGGTTTGAAATATGCATGATTCCCCACACTCGTTTTCATTTTAAAAACTTGTGATGGCCTATATTGCAGTACCTAGTTTCGTATTCTCCTAGTTGCTTTCTTGAGACAAGCTTTAGAGCTCCAGGAAATGCCAGATAAAATCATGGCACAGAATAAAAGCTTTGAAGAACATGCTAGCAAGCAACAAATGATGTGTTCCATCACTTTCTAAGACAATCGGAAGCCATTGATACAAATCAACTGCTTCGTTGCTTGAACCGAAATATTTGCAAGTACGTTTGAATTGTTGAAGAATTCTAAGTAATTCCCATCCTCCAGGCCTTTGGGATCCAGTCCTAACCCAATGGACACTGCCTTGAAGCCTAGATACCATCCTGATATCTTTTTCTGTTCTAGCTCCTTGTTTTTAGGGTTGTTGGTTTCTCTTTCCTTGTACATCACAGAGCGTCACATCGCAAATGTTTGCCTGCTATCAAAACAACTAGTTTGATCTGTAAACTTGAAATACTCTAGACATGCAACTTCTGTTGGGTTAAATCATCCTTTTTTTTAAAAAAAATATGTTTTGTTTAATAGTCAGCTTTCCTATTCTTTCAAGTTGCTTTAAAAGCATTTTCTCTCTCAACTTCAGACTTTGCAACAGTTGAGATGAATATTCAAATGTTTTCTCTTATGCTCTGGGGGAGGCACTTTCTCAATCCAGTTTTTCTGTGCCTTTTGTGGGCCAAAACTGAGCTGTCACTTCTTGGGAGGCATCAACTGAAGGCTCTAAATCTCCAGACAGGGGAAATGATGGTTTCTTTGAACCCAGTTTTGATGGGGGTGACCTTGCTGATTTCAGCTTGCTTCAGAGCTGCACGAGTATATAATGAACGCTCGAACATTTAAAAATACGAATTCTCTTACTTGGGGGTGGTGACAAGGAGAAAAACATTTACCTCCAACCCTCCCAGATTATTGCGATTCTAATCAGTCTTCCTTGTATGAAGATTTGATCTGGGACAAAAATTATACAGCAGCAGCACTGGTGCTTTTAAAGTGTTGCTTTTCAATCGATCCTATGTTGGATATTTGGGTTTCCTAACCAAGCTTCGTGGTTTTTTGTTTGTCTGTTTTGAAACCTGCTTTAGCAGGCAACATCTACCAGCAAACGCCTGACTGCATTTGCAAAAAAAAAATAAAAACAGTTTTTTTAAAAAAAATTCCAGTTTCAATCTGTGTCAGTTCACTACCTTTTCTATTATTCTAGTTTTCCAGGCTCTCTGATAACGAAGATTAGAAGCATCCAAGAACATTTTTCACTCCCGTCACTAGGGTGTCTCTCTCTTCTGTGTCAATTTTGGTTTGGAATGTTTGGATTTTTGAAGTCCTCAGTCAGATATTTTTCCTTTCTTCTTGTAAAACCTATCAGTATTGACCAGTAATGAATAGCAAATTGTTAGCCAATGATTGATCTTAACGTTTCTTTTAAAATATCTTAATGGCATGTAATCCTTTTATCAAGATCTACAATAAAAAAATCAGTAGAAAAAGCCAGGTTTTGTTTCATTTCTTGAATCTACAAATGTGGGATAGTTTTCACAAATAAGTGCTCGTCTTATGAAGGGAAGGTATGTTCGGGGAAAAAGTTGGGTCACCCTTTTAAATAGTAACTACATGAAGTATTAATACCACTTTACAATGCCTTGGTAAGGCCACACTTGGAATACTGGATCCAGTTTTGGTCACCACGATGTAAAAAAGATGTTGAGACTCTAGAAAGAGTGCAGAGAAGAGCAACAAAGATGATTACTGGAGGCTAAAACATATAAGGAACGGCTGCTGGAATTGGGTATGTCTAGTTTAATGAAGAGAAGGACGAGGGGGGACATGATAGCAGTGTTCCAATATCTCAGGGGCTGTCCCAAAGAAGAGGGAGTCAAGCTATTCTCCAAGGCGCCTGAAGGCAGGACGAGAAGCAACGGGTGGAAACTGATCAAGGAGAGAAGCAACCTAGAACTAAGGAGAAACTTCCTGACAGCTAGAACAATTAACCAATGGAACAACCTGCCTCCAGAAGCTGTGAATGCTCCAACACTGGAAGTTTTTAAGAAGAGACTGGACAGCCATTTGTCCGAAATGGTATAGAGTTTCCTGCCTGAGCAGGGGGTTGGACTAGATGACCTCCAAGTTCCCTTCCAACTTTATTATTATTATTATTATTATTATTATTATTATTATTATTATTATTATTATTACTATAGAAGGTACCCAAAAAGCAGAAAAAAGATGAATCTGGTGGGGTTTCCTCAATGAAGCCGATCTAACCTTGTATGGTGCCAAGGTTGTCTTTGAAGAGGATGTCTCACATCCTTCTAGAGAAGGAATATAATCGTGAAGCTTTTCTTCCTTTCTGGATATCTATTTCAGACTGAGCTCGTGCTCTATTAATATTGATAGTAGCAAAACAAATAGATTGACTAGTTCACACTCATGTGTCATTCCTCAAAAAAAAACAACCTCACATTTATTACTTTGATGGATTAATTCATAAACTTTCTTAGGGAACCAGTTAGCACAACCAATCTTATAAATGCCATGCATAGGAGGCAGATGATTAAATGCAGTAATTAATGACACTGGATGACTAGATTTGTAAACATATATGGTACACTCGTATATCACTGCTGCTAGAGGCTGTTCTAATTGTGTCTAGCGGGCTGGGGGTGCAGCTAACAACCTGAACAGCTCAGTCCTTAAACTCAGTAACACGCTACACTATCCTGGTAGTTAATTGGTGACTTGGTGGCAACTGAATTAATCCTAACCATGGTTAAGCATAGAGATAGTCCTCGACTTACAAGTTCACTTAGTGACCATTCAAATTTACAGTGGCACTGAAATAAGTGACTTATGACCATTTTTCACACTTCTGACCATTGCAGCATCCCCAGGATCACATGATCAAAATTCGGACGCTTGGCAACCGGCTCATTTACGACGGTTGTAGCAGCTAGAGGTCACGTGATCCCCTTTTGCGATCTGACAAGCCAAGTCAGTGGGGAAGCCAGATTCACTTAACAACTGTGGCAACAAAGATCATAAAATGGGGCAAAATTTCACTTAACGAATGTCTCACCCAGCAACATAAATTTTGGGCTCAGTTGCGGTCGTAAGCCGAGGACTACCTGTATTCATCTCACATACACTTGCATGTTAAGTGGCTCAGTTGACTTAGTGCAGGGGTAGGCAATCTTGGCATAGCTGGCTCAGGAATTCTGGGAGTTGAAGTCCACGAGTCATAAAAGAGCCAAGGTTGCCTACCCCTGACTTAGTGGATCATCTGAACTTGGGGCTTGGTTTGTGTCTCTTGGAACCTGATGGCAGTATGCAGAATAATAGTGTTGTAAGAATAAGAGAAGCATGTATAGTAGAAGCATGGAGGTGTTATGTATGCCTATCCTGATCACTGCCTTTATGTTCTTGTTTTGGGCCTTTCTGTGAAATATTGCTCTCCCAGATTAAGAAAACAAGCCAAGATTTATGTGCTTAATCTGAGTCACCTTGGAACAGAGTGTTCTCTTGTGTGTTTTAAATTCAGCGTGTCCAGCACTTCTACTGCATTATATGTGCCATCTGATACACATGAGAACTGACTGCAGCATGTTGCTAGAGGCACAGGTGCATAATATTTTACAGCCAGAGTGCTTCCAATCAAGGAAATAGGACAGAAATTACTCCACTCTTCTTTTACCCAACCGTCTTTTTCTGATTACTTAAATTGGAACGAATTCCCTAATTATTGATAATATGACTTTGCTTTCTTAAATGGTCTTCCGAACAAAATTACTTCTCCAACGTACGTCTGTCCTGCAAGCTGAAATTTTGAAAACGGGACTTTTAGAGTTGCCTGTGTTATTTATTACTGGCACTTGCTCATCCCAAACCACAGTAGCCTTAGAACTGTGGGTGAGAAAAGGGTGAAGTGACCTAATCCCAAGCTCCCAGAAGGTAGCCATCAAGGGACCACACGGCGCATCTTCGTCGTCTGCCTCAGAACCTCTTCCAGGTCAGTGGACAATTTTGCAAACTAATTTCAGCTTCTACATCTTTCAGTCAGTTCTATTATGGAAACTCAGAACATGATCGGCCTTCTTAAATATTTCCTTTTAATTCGGTTTTTAATATAGATATCATTGTATTTGTATTGTGGTTTTTATGAGGCTGTTAGCCGCCCTGAGTCCCATGAGGAGAAGGGCGGGGTACAAATTAAATTAATAAATAAATAAATAAAATAAATGTTGTGGGGGGGGGGAAGAGGAGGAGGAAGTGTTGATATTTCAACCCTGAGCTACAAATATTCGCCTTCATTGGAAGAAGTGTTGGATATGTTCACAGCCTGGAGTTATTTGTAAAAATAACAATGACGGGAAGTACATACATACATACATACATAGTTTCCTGTCAGTGGGTTCTTCTGCGTAAGACTTGTGAGAGTCCAGTCTCTCACTGGAGCAAGATGGGCCCTAAAAACATTAAGTTGGATTTATCATATTTTGACCAAAGACAAATAACAAACATTTCAAATCCAAAGAGCCGCTTCTTTCCCAAATATCCAGACAATTGAAAATCAATAATTGCTTGACTTGCTATATACTCTCAGAAGAAGCTATTATATGTGCTGTTGGATGAACCGTGACTTTGCCCTTGGTTCACCTCAAAAAGCCCAATCTATGCAGTCCAACGAGACATGAATCTCAGTTCCTCAAAATGCAGGTGGAATGTAATGAGTCCTGGTAGTGCAGTGGTTAGAATGCAGTATTGCAGACTAACTCTGCCCACAGCCTGGAGTTCGATCCCGATGGGCTTGTGGTTGACTCAGCCCTCCATCCTTCTGATGTTGGTAAAATGAGGAGCCAGATGTTGGGGGCAATATGCTGACATTGTAAACCGCCCAGAGAGTGCTGTAAAGCACTATGGAGTGGTACATAAGTCTACATGCTATTGCTATGTAATAATGAAGGTCCATTTAGTTCTATACTTTCCCTGAGAACCATCATTCTTCTAGGCCAGGGGTAGGCAACCTTGACTCTCTTATGACTCGTGGACTTCAACTCCCAGAGTTCCTGAGCCAGCATGTTAACAAAATAACCGAGCTGGAAGGGACCTTGGAGGTCATCTAGTCCAACCCCCTGCTCAAGCAGGAGACCGTCTACCATTTCAGACAAATGGCTGCCCAGTCTCTTTTTAAAAAGCTTCCCGTGATGGAGCACCCAAATAAAATAACCCAGTTATTTTTTCTTTTTTAAAAAAACCCAAATTACTTCCTCGTAATCGTCAACTGGGTTATTTTATGGATTAGGGCCACCTGACCCGGGCTGCAAAAATCCTGACGGTCGTTAAAACAGCAAGAGAGAGGGAAAGAAAGCTTGCTTGCTTGCTCGCTCGACGTCCTGGAGTTCGCTCTTCGTGAAGAAACCTAAGCCAGGGGTAGGCAACCTTGGCTCTTTTATGACTCGTGGACTTCAACTCCCAGAATTCCTGAGCCAGCATGGCTCAGCATGGAAGCCTCTCCCTTTCCCCTCAGCACGGCTGGCTCAGGAATTCTGGGAGTTGAAGTCCACGAGTCATAAAAGAGCCGAGGTTGCCTACCTCTGGCCTAGGCCTAGGCCGCTTTATGACTTGTGGACTTCAACTCCCAGAATTCCTGAGCCAGCATGGCTCAGCATGGAAGCCTCTCCCTTTCTCCTCAGCATGGCTGGCTCAGGAATTCTGGGAGTTGAAGTCCACGAGTCATAAAAGAGCCCAGGTTGCCTACCCCTGATTCTAAGCTAAAAAGGTTCGACTGTCCAGCGGCCGAAGGTCACGTGTTCATCGGGAGAACCCCTGCGCCGAACAGGCCGCTGGGTGGGCGTGGCTAAGATAAAGGGGAGGGGCGTGGGGAGGTATTTAAATCCTCGCCTCAACGGTCTCTTTTAGGGTAGTTAGGAAGAGGGACGTGGGTGTTCTCTATCGGGTATAACCGGGGTGAGGGAGGCTGGCTTCTGACGAGCGAAATAAATGCGGGGCGGGGCGGGGCGGTGGTCCTCTGGAGTGCTTACAAATACGGATATGAAGAAGGGATGTCTTAAAAGCATGAAAACGTGGTGGGTGGTTTTCGCCCAGTCACCCTCTTGCCAGTCCAACTCGCCTCGCGGGGTGGTGGCTGGGGGGGTGGGGAAGTAGGAGGAGGAAGGCGTATGAGGAATGTTTGCCGCCTTGGGTTACTTATAAAGCAATAAAGGCGGGATAAAAAAAAAATAATGTCACCCATTGAATGAGGCATTTTCGAGGGTCTGAGAGAGCGCTAACCTGGCTAATTATGGCGGGATCCGCGTTGTGAGGCGCGGCTTCTTCTTGACCTGAGAAGCCTGTCATAAAAGAGGCTAATTGGGAAGGAGGCTGAGAGAGAGGAGAAAATGGGGGAAGCGGAATGGGGGGTGGTGGTGGATGGACCTTACCTGGGAAAAAGGGGAGAGTTAGGTGGAAAGTAAAGTCTGAGAGGAATT